ATTTTTATACAGCCACATAAGGGTGACACAGAGATACATTTCACTTCATGTTGTATGTGTGTGACAAATATATCTCTTGACTTGACTTGACTCAAAATGATCTACCTGCTATAAAAATGCAAAACATATATTTATGTATAAAATATTGAGTATTCTTTAATATTAATTATTATTATTAATTTCCCTTTGGGATGAATAAAGTATTTTTGAATTGAATTGGGATTTTAGTTCCTTCACCTTTCTCCTTCTGAGCTCGCTTTTCGGAGGGAAGTTAATGTCGTGGTTTTTATGAACAGTCAGAAAATGCCGCTCCACATTTCCCTTCTTCGGAATAGCAACGGTAGACTGACAGATGAGGCAAAAGCACTTCGAATATGACATGGTGGGGAAAAAAACAGTCCTCCTCCCATTCCGTATGGAAGTGGCAGGTTTTTGGCTTCTTACTTGGTCCAGCTCCCCCATTCATTCTTATACCCTTTCTTAAGTTTAGTAGAAATAAATTGGAGGCTAACTAGGGGACTCAGTAGCTTGCAGCAGCTGGCACGGTTGAACACGTCATCCATCCTCTATTTTTTATGCTATACGGTCTACACACACTACCTTTGCAATCGACCAGTAGGTCACGATCGATGTTTTGGACGTAGACCATGTATATGTCGGAGTGGATCATGAAAATGATACTGGAACAGGCAAGAAATAAAAGCGCATGTATCGATATTTATGCGGTCACATCGATGCATCGGATCGTTTGTTGTTGAATCGATATATATCGATACAAATTGATGTATTGTTACACCCCTAGGATCCACAGTACTGTACTGTCCTGTGTGTTTTCACAGTTATCTCATTGGGCAGGGAGTGAGCGACGTACCCTTTGACCCTATTTGCCAGGGTCACAGCAAAAGTATTCTGTGAACCAGCAATGCCTCCCACTGGGTACCTGGAAGATAATAGGCCCTAGGATCCCCTGCAACCCCCTCCCATTAAAAAAAATTAACAAATAAAAATAAAAGTCTACATCCTGATCCAAGAGTTATGGAAAATGGATGTACAGCATGCCCTCTGCAAATAGTGATGATTGGCCATATTTCATAATTACAGAATCTCTGTCATGTGATGTGCGAGTTACCAGGCTTTCTTCATTTTCGACGGTTTAAGCTGTGGTTTGGTCAGCTTGTGGTGGAATGCTGTAAGAAGGCATGATGATGTGTTGCATAGCAATATGTGGGCTGGTGAAGGCCTAAAGGCCTTTCTCCATCGAACTCTGAGTAACAACTAAGGGGTGATCTACACAAGAGAGTTTGCGGATGTGGGTGAGATGGAGATGGGCTTAGAAATGGAGCAGCAACATGTACTGTAGTAAATATGACAATGAAAAGTGAAGACACCTACTTCAGTACATTCAGCGAGCTACATTCACCAGAAAGCATTCAAATCTGCTATTTGAGCATGTCTGTGGATTTGTTCATTCCTCATCCATTGCAATGTTTCAGTCAATGAAAATGGGTGCTTTCGACCGAGAACTTTTGTAGTTCTTGGCCACTTTCATTTGTTATTTGCACAACAGGAACTGGGACCTTTATGCTAAATAAGCATGGGAGACTCAAAACGCTTGTGAGTTAAACTTCACACTTGCCAGCCCAAAACAATGGAGGATAAACAAGTTGTGTTGTTCATTATTTGTCAGTTACTTGAGGATTGTTCTTGATCAAAACAGGACACAGCCTACAGTAGATTGTGTTTGAACAAAAAGTCTGGAGTAGATACTAAAAAAAGGGGTCCGGGACTGCCTCCAAAGCACTACAACAATAGTCCCTGGTTTCGGAAAAAGTTCTAGAAAAAAGTTCCTGCGATGTGAAAAGTGCTCAATATGGCCATGCAAGAATGAGCAATATGCTACAGTTTTGGAGGTGGCCTCATCAAAGGAATTCTCTGTATGGATCAAAGAAAAAGCAAAATGGAAAAGTGTGTGAAGAAAGTGAGCTACCCTGAAGCAAGTTGACATTTTCATTTTGCAACTAAAACCTTTGCTTCTTTTGTAAGAAAATCTGTGCAAACAGACTAATCTGACCAGGGTGGCTAAAGATAAGCCTCAGTTGGTCGGTGACCATAGTCTCCCTTCTTTTACAAGACAATAGATTGCATGTTTTCAGACTGTCCCAATCCAGTTACAGATTGGTCAGACTCTTACAATGGACAACACTAGATTAATATTTATAAAGTAAGAAAAACAAAAAAGTCAAGTTGTCAGCAACAAAAAGCAAGCCAAGACGAGAATTTGACAAGTCAACAGTTGTTAGTTGTTTTGAAATGTTACAGGAAGTTGCCTCTCACAGCCAGAACCATTCCCCAAAAGGCAAAACTGAAGGCCTTGTACGTGTTTCACCCACCTGATGTTGGGTAATTGCGTTATCCGCTGGAACTGTCATGGTTTTAAAGTGAATTTTGCTGAACAGCAGTGCTTGGCTACAGCCCTTAATCCTCATGCCTTTTGTCTCCAGGAAATTCTGCATCTCTGCGTTGTTTAGAATTTTTTTTTGCAATAGCTTTAATCCAAACAACATACATGCTGCTGGTGGCACAGCAGTTTTGGTAAGATGATACACAAGGCCATCACAATTTGTTCTACATCTGTGACACACCAAGACTTTGTTACCTTGTTAGCCAGTTGGCATCCATCTGAATCTTTATAGAGGAATTTAACAGTCATGATCCACTATGGGGTAGCAATCACTGTAACACTAACGGCAAGGGAGAAAATTGTATTGTTAACCATGTCTTATGTTTGTTATATGATGCTTCTCATGCTTAAATAGACAGACAGAAAGATAGGTAGGTAGTTTTGTTTGTTTGTTTGTTTGTTTGTTTGTTTGTTTGTTTGTTTGTTTAATTTGTCCATCCCAATGGAAATTTACTTGCCTATACCCAGGACCTGGAACTTTTATTGAGAAATTCATGGAATTATCTGTGACTAACCTACAAAGTTCAGTGTAAGTAGGGAACAGGCATGCAGAGTGATTTAATGAAATGAAGATGTAGATTGCAGAGAGCAACCTCTAGTACGCCATAAAAAAGGTTTGGAATTTGATCTTCAGGATGAAAGGAGAGTGAGTTGGAGAATCAATGCTGCATATTAAGTAACAGGACATGCTGCAAACCACTAAAGAAATGACGAACAAACTAGCAGAGATTTTTAATTAACCAGTCATTTACCAATGAAAAGCTTTTACTGTCTTTGTATAGATGGAATTACACTGCATTTGGACCAGATGAAATTAATTCCCAATTTCTTTAAATACTTCATACTGTTTCGTCACTCCCCAAATATTTGTGTAGTATAGTATAGTTGTATAGTTATCAGGAAATATACTGCTTTCCTGTTAAAATGTAATAATGGTACTTGTGCCTAAGCCAGGCTAGAGTGAAACTGACCTAATAATGACTAATAATGCCCAACAGCCAATAATTGTCAATGTAAAGACAAGGAGAGGTTGGATAGTGATCACCCTGTTTGTCTGTAGTCTAATAATCAGGGAAGTGAATTCCGGAGTGACTTTAGATAAGCAACAATTACCCTGGACCATCTCATTAGTTTGGAAACGTATGCACATGATGCTTTTAGGTTTAAGTGAAAACCTTCATGAAATCAACCTGTTTGTTTCCATTGGTTAAATCGGAGGTAGTGCTAGTTTCTTATATCAAAAGCCAGTCTTAAACACCTTGTATAGAATTTCATAACTGTTTAATAACCTGTATTGTTGTTTTGTATGTTGTTTTGTTTTTTCCTTTCTTGGGGCGTTTTATATCATTTTTATTTTTACTTTAGATATAACCTGAATATAGCGTGACATAAATAAGGCCTTAGTTGCTGGTATAGTATTAAAAATTTACTGGGGAAAAAAACATGTTTTAGTGAGCAAAAAATTGGATTATGTGCCTTTTTGCTTTATTGTTGATTGATTTTACAAATGGTGAAAATGTTAATTCTTTATAGATAAGATAATCGATCGAGGGAAAAATGCAGTGGGCAGAGATGATGAATCCTCCTTTTGCTGGTGTGGGGGTCAGTCCTTCTAGGGTAGGGCCACGCGCATTCGCTCGCGCCGAGCGGGCTTTGGACAGACGCACAGATCACCAAACGGCTGCTTTGCCATACAAAGCAAAGGTATGAAGAGCAAAAGCTTTCGTCTGACTAACGCCTGCCTTGTCGCTCCGTTCCGCTCAGTATGGGTCCTGCTGACATCAGTGCCACTTTTTGCATAACCGCCTGGTCTCGGTGCGTGAGAACTGCGTGCCGCTGTGGTTTATATTCCAGCTCTTTTTGACTCCATATGTGTGTAGTGTCTTTTGACGCAGACATTTCTGCTTATTGATTAATATTCCTGAAGGTAACATACAGATAAAACACAAGTTTGGTATAATAGGTGTGTCTCGGAATGTTTGTTGCTTGTAGGCTCCATTTAAGCCCCCTCCCCTTTTTAGCTCCCATGCCTGTATACCCACCTAGTGTTCTTTCAGGGTACTGCAGTCATATCTGTTTTGTTTTGTCAGTTTTGGTAATCTGCCATGGTTCCTCTGCGTTTGCTTTTTACTCTAACAAATAGGGGAAAAATTAAATGTGAAATGGATTAATATGTGATAAGATATAAATACACTAAAATGGATATGAGATCATTATGAGGCTTAGGAGCGGCCTGCATTTTTTTCGGGTAATGCTGCCATGAGTCATAGATGAGCTGCTTTCCTCTCATGGGGCTGGTATTAAGAGCGGTCTTCTAGTCACCAGCACCAATATTCTCTGTTGCGCCTGCAGCAGCGGGGGCGGCTGGTGAACTGATAAGTGCTGTCTTTGCTCTCGTGAGTCATGAAGACCACGGTGGAAGGTCATGTTCAGAATACTGTATCTGCTGTATTTCCTCCCCCTTCCCCGGCTGGCAGTGCTCTTGGCGTGCGGTCAGCGTACTGCTAATAACCCTTGACTAAATGACCTGCCTCCCCAGCCCGCCCGCCTGACTCCCCAGCGAGATTTCTTCAAGTCCCTGATGGGCATCGGCAAGCGGCTGGCCACGCTGCCCACCAAGGAGCAGAAGACCCAACGGCTGGTGTCCGAGCTGTCGCTGCTCAACCACAAGCTGCCGGCGCGGGTCTGGCTGCCCACGGCGGCCTTCGACCACCACGTGCTGCGGGTGCCGCCCAACCAGGCCGTGGTGCTCAACTCCAAGGATAAGGTGGGGAGTGCCTGGGAGACGCTCTGACGGCAGGGGGCAGGCCAGCTTATTTCTGAGACTTTGACCATGCTAACAGGAGAAATGGGTTTATGAGGCTTTGGTTTCTGTTGTTTGGGTTTAATATAATTAAAATGGGACACTTTATATTTTTGTTGTACAGGGTGATGGGCAGACTGGGAATATTATCATCTCGTTCCATTAGGAAACTGGCTCAATCCCATTGGTTGCCTGTTGCTATAGCAATAGTCATTAGCAACTTGTATACTTTGAACTGTTCAGTTGCATTGTTCCAACTATGTAAGTTGTTAACATTGTTAGCAGCTATGCTTTTGGGAAATGTACCCCACCCTGTTTTCGTGTTGTTATAAGTGTTGTAAGTTCGCTAAGTATGTGACATCACCTGCGTATGTGATGTCAGTATGTGATGTCAGTATGTGATGTCAGTATGTGATGTCAGTATGTGATGTCAGTATGTGATGTCAGTATGTGATGTCAGTATGTGATGTCGCCTGAGTTAAGCCCTGCTTGGTAGTTGTATCGCTGCTTGGTGCCACACCAGCTTTGTGTTTACAGTTGCTGAGTGCGTGTGTGCATGTGTGTGGCCTTCCCAGGCGCCGTACCTGATCTACGTGGAGGTGCTGGAGTGCGAGAACCTGGAGACGTCCTGTGTGCCAGAGCGCATTCCGGAGACGCGTATTCGCTGCACGCGCTCGGAGGAGAGCCTGTCTGACTGCGTGGCTGCAGGGGAGCAGCGAACCGGAAGCTTCTCCACCGTGCCCAACTATGACAACGACGACGAGGCCTGGTCCGTCGACGACATCGGCGAGCTGCAGGTGGAGGTAGCTACGCTGATTTTGATGTTGACGTCTTTCCCCTCCTGTTTCTGATTGAGTGTCACTATACTTCATGGTTTTTCAAAGATATGCCAGCTGACTGTCACATGAAGTCAGTGAGTCAGCCCATTGTTGCCTTCCCTGATCACCCTGAGCACGAGCACTCATCACCTTCACAGCCCACATCACACTGTCATTCTCCCGTGAACCATCATTGTGTGACGTGAATCACAAGCTTTCAAAGGAGAAATCTCCGCTTTCAAATCTCCACTGTGCTTCCCTTTTAACCTTTTTGCAGCAGAAACGAGAACTTCATCGCGCACAACAAAAATCACATGCCCTAAAATGCTCCTGGGTATCTGCACCTCTGTGTCAAGGACTCCTGTAGTGCCTGATTCTGCTCCACTGTCTGGATTTCCGTCTATGAGAAGTTGCATTATTGATTGTGGCCGAGCAGGAATCAATCTGTACCCTTTTGACATCCAGAAGAGCAGCTGATATCCCCTGTTCGCTACGAGCAGCTCGCCACAGACTCTGAATCTTAGCTGTGCTGGTTGTGTGTTTCGGAGATCCTGTACAATTGTCAATGCCAGAATGACCCCCCAGTTCTCCCATTGTGGTTCCAGCTCCCGGAGATCCACACCAACAGCTGTGACAACATCTCGCAGTTCTCTGTGGACAGTATCACCAGTCAGGAGAGCAAAGAGCCGATCTTCATCGCCGCTGGGGATATCAGGTACTGAGGCAACACGGCAAACTGTAGGACAGAACAAATGTGTATGGTTTCTGTATGATATCCTCTACTGTTATTCTAATTTGTTTTTAATAACGCACCAAAACATCTTTGTTTTGTTGTAACAAAAATGGGGTGGGGTTATTAAGAGGGAGTCCCCACAGAGATCGATGTACAAACAGCTGCTTGTGGGTGTGTCCAGGAGGCGCCTGTCGGAACAGCTGGCCCACACACCCACCTCATTTAGGAGAGACCCAGAGGATCCCTCCGCCGTGGCCCTCAAAGAACCTTGGCAGGAGAAAGTCCGGTGAGTATTCGCCGAGTCGGGATGTCTCAGCGGTCGAGATGTCTCTAGGGGCTCTCTTAAAAATTACAACCATCTGACTGGAGTTTAGTGGGGGAAAATGCACTTAATCCAGTCAATATGTTGGAATGCAGCCAAGGATTGCTAAGTCTTCCTCCTCATCCACATGACCCAGGCGAATACGCGAGGGCTCCCCCTATGGGCACCTCCCCAACTGGCGCTTGCTCTCAGTTATCGTCAAGTGTGGGGATGACCTTCGTCAGGAACTTCTGGCCTATCAGGTGCTGAGCCAGCTAAAGGTGAGCTCTCGGGTGCCGAATCTCAGAAAAAGGTATGATATGATTAGTTTAGATCAGATCAGATTAACATTATTGATCCAAATGGGAAAATCTTGTGCATACAGCAGCAAAGGTACGAAGAGCACAGATGAACATACATTTACTGCAAAACAAAGTGCTAAGATGGTACCCACAGTGCAAATTTAAAAAGTACGCAAATAGAATCCTAAAATAGAATATTATGGAATATTAGTGAAGTAAATAAACATGAAACGATCACTGATTCTGCTGCTTTTGTATATGCAGTCGATCTGGGAGCAGGAGCGAGTCCCTCTGTGGATCAAGCCCTACAAGATCCTGGTGATCTCCTCGGACAGCGGCATGATCGAGCCGGTGGTGAACGCCGTGTCGCTGCACCAGGTGAAGAAGCAGAGCCAGCTGTCGCTGCTGGATTACTTCCTGCAGGAGCATGGCAGCTACACGACCGAGGCCTTCCTCAGCGCGCAGCGCAACTTCGTGCAGAGCTGCGCCGGCTACTGCCTCATCTGCTACCTGCTGCAGGTCAAGGACAGGTTAGCGTCAGCGTCCTTTTCTGTCATTTGTCACTCTTGCTACTCCCACTTCAGAAGGTGGGGGGACTTAAGAGGGGTCATAATTCATACAGAGTAGCCAAGCTTAATGATATGTATGGAATCAGTGAATGATAGGGGAGGGGGCACTCTGGGCACTCTGTGGCCCCACCCCTGTATACACCCCTGTTCTCAAGGTCTCTTCCCTGTAGCTGTATCTGTCTCCTTCATCTTTCATTTCTACGTCTGTCCATTTTTGTTGCTGGGGGTCTCCTTTTTCATGGTCCTACCCGCCTATCCGTTCTGCATTTGTCTCGCTTACATCCCATCCTTCCACAGACACAACGGGAACATCCTCCTGGACGCTGAGGGCCACATCATCCACATCGACTTTGGCTTCATCCTGTCCAGTTCCCCCCGCAACCTGGGCTTTGAGACGTCTGCGTTCAAGCTCACCAGCGAATTCGTGGATGTGAGTCTGAGCCGAGAGCCCAGCTAAACTAAAGTTTAGAGAAATCACAGATCTGTGTTATAATCATCATAAATTATACATTTTCATTTATTTTTACTTAGCAAACAACTTTGTCTAAAGTGACCTACAAGTGACACAAATATTACATCACAGAAGACTTGAAGATCCACCTGCATGTCCTACATATAACTCTCCTTTACCGTTATCGAAATATATATATTGTATTCTTCTCCTTGTACCATTTTATTGACTCTTTAAGAGGTTTTTAATAAAGTTCCATCAGAGGCTTTTTTATGTTTATTGAAAGGTAATCTTAGGCGTCTTATTTACTGTTTGTAGCCTTTTTATGGTTATTTCTGAACTTTTTACCTTTTCGGTCCTTCGCTCTGTTTCAATACCCATTTACTCTCACCATGAATATAAACCTCGCTGCTGGCATGGCGATGAGAATCAACATAAACATGTTAGCGGTTTTGGGTGAGCGGGATTTCGGTGTTGAAGGAAGAGTCTTACATTACACTTCAAACTGCGGGTCTTTCTTTTGTTCAGGTTATGGGAGGCTTGGATGGCGACATGTTTAATTACTACAAGATGCTGATGCTGCAGGGCCTGGTCGCCGCACGCAAGCACATGGAGAAGGTGGTCCAGATTGTGGAGATCATGCAGCAAGGTAACACTCTTGTGTTATCATCCTGTGATCACTCTGCTCTCCTGTATTTCATGATAAATAATGGCTAAATGGATCAAGGTAACTAGAGTTTATTAAAGGGATTGTTTAGTTTCCATTTTAACTTGCAGGATCCAGCCATCACCAATCATTTTTTCATTCTTTTCATGACTGGGTAAGAAACAATTAGTGTCTTGGGTACAAATCTGGACTCTTGGCCCAAAACATTCAAGTCCTAAGACATAGGTCTTCAACTTCAGTCCTGGAGAGCAACTGTCCATTAGGTTTCTTAACCTACCAGGCTTCTGATGAGCCACACCTGTTCTTAGGTAAATACTCATAAGAAGCCAGGGAGCATAGAAAACCGACTGGATAGTAGCTCTCCAGGACCGGAGTTGGGGACCACTGTCCTAGGAGTAGATCTTCTGCTGTGAGCAATTCTATATGGGCTATATGCTTAGGCTGAATCGGTTTAAAAGAAATATGGAGTAACCAAGGCATTTAAACAGTGGATGTGGAGGTAGGATGAGTATCACAGAGTCCATGTCTGTCCCTCTGGCCCAGGCTCTCAGCTGCCCTGCTTCCACGGCTCCAGCACCATCCGGAACCTGAAGGAGCGCTTCCACATGAACCTAACAGAGGAACAGCTGCAGGTGCTGGTCGAGCAGATGGTGGACGGCTCCATGCGCTCGCTCACCACCAAGCTGTACGACGGCTTCCAGTATCTCACCAACGGCATCATGTGAAAGGGCACATCACACATGCATCTTTCTGGGGGGGGGCACAGACTCCTAGTAGACTCCACTTGAGCTTGTGAAATGCCCTCTGCCTTGAGTGTGATCCGGGGGAGGATGTTGCTTTACCACTTCTGCAGTTGCCCTGCTCCCTGTGCGTCCTCAAGAGCGTCTTTTTGCACATCTGCCTTTTGAACTGGCCTGGATACATGAGCCTCCAGTCTCCTGTTTTACTTGTACTTGCAAAGCCACAGTTTCCGTCCCGACCCATCGTGTTGAGATCATGTCTTTGAAGGGGAGAAACACTGTGGTGATGCAGGTCGGATATATTTTACCAATCCATTCTTCCTTGTCTTTAGCAAGCTCCAGAGTTTTTATTTTTTTATTTTACAGTCACCCCTCACTTACTTTCTTAGCCTGAAAGAAAGCTTCCTGGTTCCGTGGTTTGGGGGTGTGACTGGGGGTTTTCACAAAGGTGACGACACCCCTTTCCTGGATAAGGAACTCCAGCAAATACACAAGGAACCAAAAAGAGCAGCACAGCCCCCTAGTCTCTGGTTGCCAAATGTTTTATAAAATGTCCATCATGTAAAATAACGGGCCTCTATGATGGTTCGTCAGTGGATCGGCATAAACTGTGACATCAGACAGTTAAGACCATTAGCCCTGCTGTTGGTGTCATGCAGAGGTGGAGATTTCAAACCCAGAGAATACAAATCCAGACCAAGCTTTTGTTTCAACCAACCAGTTGAGCATAACAAGTCACCGTCAGTACTCAGCTGGTTGGTTGAAACAAAATCTTGGTCTGGATTTATTCTCTCTGGACCTGAAATCTCCACCTCTGGTGTCAAGGTATTTTTTTTTTTCTAAAATACAACAGAATTGAACAACTAAAGCAACTGTTATGGAATTCAGAAAATACAATACACGATGAAGCAAAAACGTAAATGTAGGTTTTTTAGATTATTTGCCAGCTGTCAAAAGCCCAAACTCTAGTCCAGTGCTTTCCAACTCGGTCTTCGTGCCAGACAGTCCACATCTGTGCTTCCTCCCAGGCAGGGAGCAAAAGTGTGGACTGTCTGCGGTCCTTATGGACCAGATCAGGAAACACTGCTGCAGTACATATTTAAGTTAAGCCCATTTGCAGAGAACCAAACATGCAGTCCCATACAATAATTGGTGATTTGTGTACGCCTACATTTGTTGTATTTGTGTGCCTTAGCTAAAATTCCTGCTTCAATAGTTAGCATGTGTTACGAATCTCCATCTTTTTATAGACACTTCGGGAGAGACTGCCCACTAATCCTGAAGCACAGCGCATTTTCTGCTGCTGCTGCTAGGCCAGTTCCACTTTCGCCATGGCTTTTGATGCCCAGTGATTTCATTCGCCTCTCTGACTGTTGCAGAACAGTGGGTCATTTTTATTGCCATTCTATTATGGCCTGAGCTGTTCAAACTGATGCCCTAAAACCACTTTATATAACATTCAGTAGATGAGTAAATGTGATTCATTGTCAAGAGTCTTGAAACTTGAAACCTGATTTTAGTTTCCTCATCGAGCCCTGCACTGGAACGCACCCTTTTTCTGTTCCTGTGCCCTGTGACACTCAGCGGCAGCCGTGCGGTTTTTAGAGAAACACTGCCTGGGAGCAGTGGCTGCTTTTAAAGCTACTGAAGAGATTCAGAAATCATTTCAGCCGGAAATGCTGGCCAGGACATGAGCGGGACGAGATGGAACAGATGAGAAAGGACTGAAGTGCACGGTGGTCTGTTGTTTTGTCTCCATGGTGACTGAGAGCTTGTTTTTGTCTTTGATGTACCTCCTGTGACCCATCTGTCCACTTTGTCCCTCTGAAATCTGAATATCTAAATATGTCTGTAAATATGTGTATATAAAGTAATTTTTGAGTATGAAATGGGATATTGAAAGTGGATCATGTGATGCTGAAACCACTAAAATGAGAGATTTTTTAAGTGACACTAGTACTTGAATGGCACAACCGTTGTAGCTGTAGTTTTCAAGAAAAGCTAAACCTGGCAACTACCCCGAGTGGAGATTCCATTTGAAGCAAATAGACCATTTCAACTGGTCTGAACTCAAAATAAACCAGACTACGTTAGATAAGTAAACTTACTGGTAACTTTGCTGGTACTGTGCAGTTACAATTTCTCATACTAATCAAAACTCTGAGCTGTCCAGAAGCAAGTTGGGATCCAGTTGAAATCCCTCCTGCGCTTTTCCACCAGGTGCCCTGAGCGGCCTGTGCACCTTGTGGCTTTTTGATGAGGTGCTGTCACTACACACTCCTGGGGTTTCCGTTTTATTGTATGGACTTTGTGGTGTTTCTGTAGCATTAAATAACAATCATGCTCACGTTCCACCTTGTGGCTAGATGTGGGCCTGCATCACATTCCCAAATGCTCCCTTGTTTTCCGACAAAGGGTGGTATCGTGCCTGTTTTAAGATAAATGGAAGAATAAAGATAGGGTCTATGACATAATTTAAGGTGGGACTAGAGCTGTGGGATTATATGTTTGATGGGCGTCTGAGTTGTGAAGAGTCTAACAAGGAACAAGGACAGTGTTATGCATTTATTTTGCATTAAATATTTATTACATTTTATAGTGGCTTTAAATGCTTTTTATTTGCTGGTGGCAGTGTGTATGTCACTATATCTTCCTCTGTCAGGCAGAGTGATAGAGTCGAGGTGCCTTGCCAGTCAAACTCTTTAATTCTACAATGTTCTGTCTAATTACGTCAAGGGAAGCTGGTGCTTGTTTAGCACACTAAGGGCAAGGGGGCTCCTACAAGTGCAGCTTCGACATGGGTGGGGGTCTTCAGTGTGGAATGCGTTACACCAGGGGTGCCCAAACTGACCTGGACATCACCAAATACAGTTTTCTTCTGGTATCGCTAGGAAGGGCCTGCTTCCTTAAGAAAATGGCTTGGCCATTAATGTTTGTCAGTTAAGACAGACATTGTCTTACAGGACTAACAATCATGTCTGAACATTTTACTTGAGGAGATTTAAAGGAGATATGTTATTACCTGTATCTGGGCTCTCCTGGTTCTGGTTTGTAAACTGATGAACAATATGCATGTTTTCCTGTATTTATCAAACTTTTTACTCTCGGAAAAAACTACTATTTTTTCATCTTTCTTTTTAAATTTCTTTTTCACTGCTTTCGAACTCTAACCAATGTATAGGACCAGCTCTTATGATCATGTGAATGACCTCTTGTGAATGTTTCTTTTTATATAAATAAATTAAGCTTGTCATGAACTGTATCTCCTATGTACTGCATCATCAGTATTTTTTTATATGGTGGGGAATGATTTAATGTCTGTGCCTCATTTTTGTTCAGTGTAGTTTGCTCCTTGAATACCGTCACCTTGGTTTCCTACATAGTTGTTTTGCTGACTTACATGACATGCTTGTTTTAATTTAAAAAAATCCCAACAACTGATTATTCGTGTAATTTAAAAAAAATCGACTTCTATTTATTTTTGCAATGTACATTAAAATTCTATACTGCTTGCATTTATGGCCAGTAGCCTCCGTATATTACAGCTTTTCATTCCCCTTGAAACACAATGGATCCCATTTTGATATATAACCTTTCTCCCGCGGATTCCTAGTTTTCCCTCTAAAGCCAATAACTCGGCATGCTTCAAAAGTTATTGAACTTGCCTTTACTTGCTTGAAACCTGCGGTATCAAGAAAAAGCCGGCACCACCCGTTCTACCATCGAAAACATTAAAACCATTAGGCTAAATACGCGATTCCAGAACGTTATAAAAGAAAAGTCTAAAAACAAACAAACAAATATGTTATGACTCTGGGGTCCGATGGTTATGTTTGAAGAATCAGCTGTATTCCATGTCGAGGCGGAATTTAAATGAATCTCCTTTGACCCGTAACAAAACGAGACTTCACGTCTAAAACCGCAATGGTGAGTATTACTGGACTGAGAAATGCGTTATTTTAATTTAATTTTCAAGTAAATGTTTTTTTTTTTTACGTTTTGCTATACTTTAGCGCAGGATGTGACTGTGACAACATTAATCCATATCTTCAGGGCACATTTTTTGACCATTGCCTCGTCTCGTATATAGCTTTAATGTCTGACGCAAGAAAAAGGTTGAATGTTTAAATGACTAAGTCACACAGCAAAACTCTATATACGGTTTGATGTAAGTTGTGATTCTCAGTTCCATATAGGCGTAAATTAAATGATCTTATAGATTATGTAAACTGTAAGGTATGTGTCAGCGACACTGCAGTATACTTCCGTTTGTACTGGTGCTTACAGCTAAAGGTCTTAATAAATTAGACGTCACACCGTTAATAATAAACTTTGCCCATTCCGTGAATGCCTTAGAATCTCGGTATTTATTTATTTTTTGCCTTTTTTATGAAGACAATGAGTTTTTTTTTTAATCTATATATCACTTATACATGAATTTCAGAGCAGTTACCGTTTGCCTTTTATAGGTTTGTATTAGACTTATTTGTTTTGCATAAAGGTCCTTGCTGTAGCACTATTGGGTGATATGCTTGCCCCAGCTATGTAAATGGTAAAAAATATTGTGAATAGCTACCTAAATTTACTGGCATGCAACCACACATACGACTGTATCAGGTTACCGCTCGTTCGTGTTTTTTTTTTTTTTCATTGCCCACCACTTCGGAGGACAACTTTATTTTACATTAGGCCACTTGAAATTAATAAATTGCTTTACATGACTCAAACTTCTAAAATATTGGTGAGTAGGGGATTTTATATTTTATATTTTATATTTTTAGCGAAAAGACGAACGGCAACAGAGATATACTAAAACTAGAAAAGTTCTCAAACAGCTCGCGAAGGGTAATATTACTCGGTATATTGATGCCCTGCCAAGATTTTAATACCGTGGGCCCACACACAATCTGACAAACGATAAAAACCATTGTCCGAGAAGCGTCAAATTGAAAAATCCGAGGCTGACATTCAAGATTTTTCACCCACAGTTTTTGAGGTGAAAAAAACGGATTTTTTGAAAAATATAAAATATAAAAAAAATCGAGGCGGCACCAAAAAATTGAGGCGGGCGGCCATTTAAAACAATTTATTAATTTTAAGTGGCCTTACATTCAAGAGCAAAGAGTGTGGCCGCTCCGAACTCACCCGTCCCGTGGAAAAAGGGGGGGGGGGATACAGAAACAACAAGCGTAACAATAACAGACATCAATCACCATGGGGAGAGGGGGAGAAAAAAAAAAGGTATACAGAAATAATAACACTAATAATGTAGGTGGGATGGGAAAAAATTAAGTATAGGGGAATACAGAATACAAACAACCATAAGAAACATAACTCACAGTGTTCATTCGTGTTGAACACTGAACCCGCTTAGGCGCAGTTTCGAGGCAGGGGGCCAATGAGCCGCAACATGCCTGAACAGGGTGATGTGCCGAGCACAAGCCCAAAAGCCATAGGGGAGGATAACAGGAATTCCAGTATCCTCCCAGTCAGTGGGCATGAAACAAAGAAGAAAAACCATGAGTCCCAGTTGTTGGCGAAAGGAAAGCAGCAGCACCGACCTTCACCTGACCCGGCTGCAGTGTCAGCTTCTTTGCCGCACGGCCTGAAGTCACCCTGACGCTCATACCGGTGTTGGCCACTAGAGGGCCACCTGAAAAACATTTCCAAATGAACTTATAGCGGGACGACAGCGCTGAATGTCATGGCGTTTGTGCATTTCAATCAGTCATCCGTTTATTACACACTCTGCGGAGTAAAGCCACACGCTGTGGGCCGTTTTCCCAACCGTCCTTATTTAGAGGTCTACTAAAATACTTTTTGTAATTTGAGTGCAACATTTTTTTAATTTTCTTTTTTGGAGGCTGAAATGTTTTCTTGGGTTACTATATATAGAAATAGCATTTTTTATTAAACCGGCAGCACACAATATACATTATTTTGAAACAGATGTTTTTCAGAAATTGGGCTGGGGCAAGTTTTTGAGCCAGCAGTCACTGACATGTAGAATTCCTGCATGTACTCTTGTCATGGTACCAAGCTCACTAGAATTGATATTAATGTGATTCCTGCTTTCTTGTCACTCCCCTCCCAACCCCCCACCCTTTCTTCCCTCCTTTCTCATCTGCCCATCCTTCTCTCTGTGTCGTCTTCTCTTCACCTCCTCAGTGGCAGACACAGAACATGAAGATGAGCGGCGTGGATGACATGGTGCTGCTCACTAAGATCCATGAGGATGTTGTCAGGGACAACCTGAGGAAGAGATACATGGACGACTACATCTTTGTATCCTTGAAAGTGGCACAGTAGCGGGTTAAAGGTTGTGGCCATTGGGGCGTATCTGCTGTCTTGACACTGACGGCTCGAAAGCAGGAAATAAAAGATACTGTGGCATTATGACATCTTCTGAACAGTCCTGTGGCTCAGTAGGTAACGCTGTTGCCTCAGAAATTCTTAGTTGCAGGTTTCAGTCATGGCTGTGCTCTGTGTCTGGATTTTCCCCAGGTTGTCTAGGATCGAACCCAAGCCACAATCCTGCTGACAGTAACCGTTAGTACAGTTGATGGATAATGTGCTATAAAAGGTGTTTTGATAATATGCTTAATTGAACAGGATTACTGGGATGTGTAAACGACATGACCTTTAACCCTAAACTGCACCTGTAGACCTACATAGGCTCCGTGCTGATATCAGTCAATCCTTTCAAACAGCTGCCGTATTTCACTGATCATGAGGTGGAGCTGTACCAAGGGGCGGTGAGTAGATGCTGCTCTTTTCAGACCACCTGAGTGACTCGAGGAACAGTACTATAGACAGGCAGACAAAATAGCTGTATGTGCGTGCGTGTGTGTGTGTGTGTGTGTGTGTGTGTGTGTGTGTGTATGCGATGACAAAAAATGTACCTGGACTGTCAGGGATGTGATACTTCCTGAGTACTTTTCAGGGTTGGGACCTCCAAGGTTTGTGACGATTGCAACAATGTTGATGTCTTTCTCCCAAACTCCCAGGCTCAGTATGAGAACCCTCCCCATATCTACGCCCTTGCAGACAACATGTATCGCAACATGGTGATCGACGTGGAGAACCAGTGTGTCATCATCAGGTCTGAGTGGTCTAACGCTGCCGTATTCCCCTGTGCTTTGGTTTGCTACATCACTATCTGGCAAATATACTCACCTCGAATGTATAGACATAAAATCTTTGATCTGTAAATCAAGCTATGTTCCCCCATTTGTTTTGGGGCAGATCTCAGGTGTCCGGGTGCTTTAATCTGTCACTTGACAGATAGACGACGTTCTAACTAAAGTGTTATTGATGTGAAGGCATATCTGTGCTTTACTTTGTCATTAAAGTGGTGAGAGTGGAGCAGGAAAGACTGTGTCCGCCAAGTACATCATGAGCTACATCTCCAAGGTATCCGGCGGAGGACCAAAAGTGCAGGTGAGTCAATTTTGTCTCCTCCCCCACCTTCATTCTTAGATGTTCTCTCTGCACCAGTGTTTCCCAACCCAGTCATTGGTGGCCCTCAGACAGTCCACGTTTTTGCTCCCTCCTTGATACCAGCCAGTTAGTCCAAAAACACAGACTGTCTGGATTTCCCCGAGGACCGGGCTGGAAATCACTGCTCTGCACCAATACCAAGATTCTAGTGTTACCACTCCTCCTCTGTCCCATACAGCAAGTAAAAGATACGATCCTGCAGTCAAACCCCTTGTTGGAGGCCTTTGGAAATGCTAAGACAGTCCGCAACAACAACTCCAGTCGCTTTGTGAGTTTAAGAGCGTGGGGTCGACTTTTATCAGATGTGACCTTTCTGATGGTCAGACTTTGTGATTGTGTGATGTTTTCTTCAGTAAGTCAAGCTTGTATATTCTACGAGCAGACTTTTTCCAACGTTCATTGTTAGTTGCTGTGATATTATGGCTTTTGCAAGATAATGCAAAGCTTACCAAGAGTTAATTTTAAGATTTGGGTACCCCAGAGGAGAAGTAAAGAATGGATGTAAAGGCTGGATGCGTCATATGGACTGTACTGTAAGATCCGACGCTATTTCATCTGTGTCATACAGGGGAAGTATTTTGAGATCCAGTTCAGTCGAGCAGGAGAACCCGATGGTGGAAAGATTTCTAACTTTCTGCTGGAAAAGTCCAGAGTTGTATCGCAGAACCAAGGAGAGAGGAACTTCCACATATATTACCAGGTACTACATTTAGACATTCTGGCAACTTTAGCAGAAAACATAAGGAAAGCATTTGGCGATAGTAAATATGCAGATGTTTGATCGAGAAACTTAAATACCTCAAATGTCTGGTGGCGGTTTCTCATATTTTTGACCACTTGAAATTCTTTATTAGGAACCAGCTATTAAGTTTCATTTTTCTTTATATTAAACGTGTAACATTGGCAGCTATATCAGGCCTATTTACTGTAAGATTTCGTACATTTGGGCAGCACTGTTGACTCACGTCTCCGAGGTCGGGGGTTTAAACCCCACCTCCGTCGTGTGTGTGGAGTTTACAGGTTCCTCTCGGGCTACATGGATTTTCTCCAGGTACTTCGGTTTTCTCCAGCAGGCCAAAGACTAACTGCAGCATTGAGTCACCCAGTGCATATTTGGACTCATTGGAACAGTTTTAATCTCCCATCATGCAGCTGTTGGAGGGAGCCAGCAAGGAGCAGAGAGAGTACCTGGGAGTCACCAGCCCTGATTACTACTTTTACCTGAGCCAGTTTGGAACCTACACAGTGGATGATGTCAATGACAAGAAGGAGTTCTTAAACACGATGGTAAGATAGCTCAGTCTGTACCCCGCTGAATGGGAGTATGTCTGTGGAAGCTGGGCCTTCCTGCTCTGATTCTGTTGTCCTGGAAACGGGTGCATATACATGGACACTGGCCCCAGCTTAAAGCCAATTGCCCCCCGGAGGCACTAGCCAATTCAAAGCGTATCAATAGCTAATGGTAAATTTGGCCCCCTGTGCAAGAAATGATCCTATATTTCCCATTTGTACGAGTACAGGTACACTGGAATGCTGCTTTTCACATATCCCGTCATGCTCTCCTTTGAGACACACACACACAGAAGAAAGCAAAGTTTGGGGCCAGCATTTTGCGGAGGGGGGGTTTTGGAGCCAAACCAAAATGTGACTATTCTGTGAAGGCTGAGGCTCAAACCAGCAACCTTCTGATCACAGATGTACACAGATCACAGAGGTTTAACCCACTGAGCAACACACCACCCCTGTGAATTATGGTCCCTCTTATGCTCCCCCACCTGAAAAAATTCATTAACGCATTACCTTAACTGCACCTTCATAATGCATTCATCATGCATTCATAGATCATTCAGTGCACCTTCATAATGCATTCATCATGCATTCATAGATCATTCAGTGCACCTTCATAATGCATTCATCATGCATTCATAAATCATTCAGT